ACATCCACAATAACAACAACAGCATACACAAACAGAGATGATTATTTCTACATGACAGTCCATTCATTTTGGCAACAGTTCATGGAACAGTAACATCGTGCATTACAACAGCTTCTTAAAAAGCCCTGCTCATTAACAGTCATCCCACAAAAACAAGTTGCATTTATCTCTGTGGCTTCACTACTTCTTTATCGGAAAGCCAGAACTGTTGGGTGTGGTGTGAATGTCTGTACATGCATGAATATATATGGGAAGTAGAAAGTGAAAGAGAGGTTGGTTTTAAACAGTTAACTGAACTAATTCTGATTATTCCTGTGTCTTATTAACCCAAATGTCACACAATTTGTGCCTTTTTTGCAGCGATCTGCATCCTACCGTGTCTCAATGGAGGACGCTGTGTCGCTCCATACCAGTGTGAATGTCCAGCAGGATGGACGGGCACACGCTGCCACAGTGGTAAGAGTGTGTGTTTGTATGTGATGACTCATGATGGTCGTCGAGAAAACTAGTTAATTTATTACATAAATAATGATTAGTAGCAGAACTAGTTGACTAGTCAGTGCAACCTCTAACGTTGTGGATCTTGTATGAGTAATACATTTACATTTAATCGTTTAGCAGACGCTTTCATCCAAAGTGACTTAAAAATGAGTAGAACAATAGAAGCAATCAAACAATAATATAACAAAATCTACAAAACTGAGGAAGTAGAAATATCATCTGCTTTTTTTCAGTCCTGACAAACAATTAGTGATAACCTCACAGTATTTAATTACAGCCAATTAATGGAGTCTAGAGAACATCTGCCATTTACCTCAAGCTATCTGTGATCTTGCCTGTTAGCATAAGTCTTAAGGCCAAATCACACTGCACAGACAACAAACAAGTTGACTGTTGAATTTAGAATTTTATGAAAAATAACTGTCACACATATGTTCACACTGCCCCAACAGACACAGGCAAACGCTGATTGAACATGTTCAGTGAGTCCGGTGAAAACAAACCCGACCAACGCACAACAGACTGTGACACTGATCCGATAAAACCCAACAAACGTGTTTGTCTGGCATTTAGTTCAACTGTAAAAGTGGCTATTTAGGGAAATATCTCTTGCTGTTAACTAAAGACATTATGATAAACCGATTAAATTTAAGAGTTTAAGGGTGTAGTGGAGTGATTACACTTATTATAGACAGAAGGACCTCATGGTGGGATAGGGCCGTGGCTCATTCTCCTGGGGTCATACCGTGTCATGCTCATGTTGTTTCCAGGCAACACCTGTGACAACAGGCCCCTAATAGTGATATCCAGTAGATCCCAGGAGCTCAAGCAGCAAAACAAAACACAATTATTGAAAACGCTTAGGGGCAGTTGACATGACATGTCGAGCAGTGACACTGGTGATATGCTATACTTCATCTTAAATAATTTTAAACCGCAATTATTATACTTCTAGTTTTATGAACTCCCATTAATTGAGAGACTTCATTGAATATTTATATATTTTTATTAATAAAAAAGGGGGAGGGGGGAGGCAGGTTCATGCTCACAATAATGTCTAAGATGTTAATTTAAATTCAGGCTTATTTATAACATGAATGTAAATTAAGTTTTATGTATTATTTATATATTTAAACAGATTTTATTTGTCACCATTTAAGTCAGTATCTTTGTTTGTATAATGAACTTTGAACTGTCTAATTGCTGAAACTGCTTCTTTTCTTTTATCATATTGATGTGTATTGATGCGTTTGCTTTCACAATACCATGAACATCTCCATAATGAATGACTTATAAAGGGCAAGAACTCCTTTACAATACCACATACATTATATTTTAACATTTACCAATGAAACTTCATTAGATTTATTGAGAACACCACCAGCATCAGTACCAAGATAAACAAACCTACTTGCTGAGCTGTTGATAATGCATTAAAGCAAACTTGGTTTAGCAGACTCAAGCACAATATGCACAGTACGTCACCTGCAGAGCTTGCTGGTTCTGATTCTGCAGTTGTTGCTGGTCTGTCTCTTTGTGTTTTATCGGTGTTGATTTACATGATGTGGGTTTAAATGTCTGTCTGCACAAAGGTCTCTAGGGCGAATATGAATTCTGGAAAATCTGGATTCCTCTTGAATTACACGCAGAGCCGATCCGCCCTATACGCTCACTACGCAAGCTGCGTAGGGCCCCGCAAATTACTCAAGGCCCCGCCTCCCCCTCGTGTCATAGCGCGTCAATTAATGTTTACAACATCAATGACAAAATGAAGCGAAACTATCCTTCTGGTCACAAAAAGAGGGGGGGAAAACATGAGTGAATTGCGGAAACAACAATCAGGTAAACTTGTGTTCTCTCCTCTCCAAGTTTGATGTCAGCAAAGTAAAGTTAAGTTTATGTGCATTTCTATTGTGTTTTTTAAAGTGCAACGGCTCGGAAAAGATAACCGCGTCGCGTGTGTTATCATACGTTCATATGCGCGTGCACGAAATGAAACGCGCATTTTTCAAGCAGAAATATATGTGGAGAGAGACCAGACATACTGTAGCCTACAATATTTGGGCCTGAATGATGACACTCCTCATCAAATTACACATTATACATACTTTTAAAACAAGACACTGATTATCTAGTCTCAGTCAATGTGTAGTTAAAAACTCTAAACAACTGCTTATGCAAGATGGAAAGCAATGTATTGACAATTTGACATTGATTGACTATTGATTTATAGGCTATATTGAATTTAAAATGTTGATTAGCTGGACATACTGGTCAATATGGATGCACATCCCTCAGTAAATAATAACCATAAATCAAGAATTGCTTCAACATGCATACTAAAACAAACCTTTAACATATGGCAAGCCATTTTAGCTTTTATTCATTCACAGTTTATGCATTTTTTATATCAAGAATTCATTTTTTTTTTTTACTATTTGCAATGTGAATTCTTGATTATTTTTTACTAGTAGGGCCCCTTAGTTACATTTTTATCTACCAATGTCTATTTCTGATATCAGGAATTACATGTTCACTTGTACAAAAGTTAATTCTTGATTTCAATGATGTCATCACTCACAGGGATTATTGATATCTGCAACACAATATTCACTTGTTATCTTAATATTCTATAGAAAATACTCTATTCAATAAATATCATTCTGTTCTATATTATTGTACTTATTCTTTGACTGTTTGGTTTAAAGGAGGGAGGATTGTATTGGGAGAACTGAAGTGTCAGGTGTGACTGTGGCAATGGCAAATGGTTTACATAGCTCACGGCTTCACGGGTCAGGTAGAGGGCCCCTTAGCAGAATTTAGCTTAGGGCCCCAGGGAGGTCAGGATCGGCACTGATTACACGGAATGTCCCCTTTGAAGAACGATCCTGGTTGCTCTCCAAAACTGATTGTGTGAATGTATGCACATTAATAAAGGAAAGAATTTAGTTTCTGTACTTTTCCTAAAGACAATGTTAAAGTGCTACATGTTTTGGCACACCATGATAAACATAGAAGACAAGTTATACAAGTTCTATAAAGCCTCATAATACATTTTTGAACTGTACTATGATGTTGTAGCGACACAGTTATAAAGTATAAATATATATACTGGATTAGTGGTGAATTATTGGTTAATATGAGTATTTTGTGTGTGTGTTCTTAGCGGTGTGTTCCATGCCCTGTTTGAATGGAGGAAGGTGTATCCGACCCAACAGGTGTCATTGCAGTCAAGGATGGGGAGGATATGACTGCTCTAGGTAGGCCAAATATAAATAATATATGTGACATAAGCACATTGCATAGAGATTTTAACATTTGATGACTTACATTATATAAACCTCAACACATTGTAATGTAATGTATTTCCACTAACTGTACAAGGAACACTGAAACACTCATCTGGGAGGTTCCCGTTGATTGTGAAAGACAAGTAAAGAAACGAGTAGGGAAATACAGATAAGAACCATCTTTGTCTATGTGTGTCAGTATGTGAATGTATGCCTCTGACACACCTAGTTTCATGATAGCGTATCTCTTACAATAAACGTACATTTCCCAAGGCACTGCAGTTGGTTTCAATCCATTCATTGAGTTGGCAGAGGGACCATTTCTTTTACGATTTATTCTTTTAAGTAATCTGCTCCTTTCCGATCTTTATTTCACTGATTCAGTGCCAGTGTCAAGATTTTATTGAGCAAATACAGCCTCTGACTGGAGGACTATTGATCTGACGGTTTTACTAGAAGTGTTTCCAGTCAATCGACTTGATACCCGCATCCCTCAGCTAATTAGATGCTGCAGTCGTCATAGCTGGTTAGAGTGATTCCCAATTAGATGTACGTGACATTTGGTTAATCCAAGTAAAAAACTGAGCTTTAAAGACATTTTCAAGGTCCATCTTCATGCAGAATGCACAAATGCCTCAAACAAATATTATTTACCCATGCTTAAGGAAGGTATCATAAATGTTTTAATTATTGATTTAGAGATTATGGTTATATTTTGGTCAAAAAGGGTTTTTAACGTTCTTCAGCTGATCTTTGTTATTAATTATTGTCTTTCAGAAAAAGAAAATCTGGATACTTTCATTTTTAATGTGCCACGTGTTGGAACAAGATGGCTTAATGTCAGAAACTTGTACACAACTCATTATCTCTTTCCCTCAAAGAGTCCTAAGTGGTTTTGTAAATTAAAGCTGTATTTTTTCATGTAGAAAATGAAACAGTATTAAATATATGCTGCTGCTATATACATGAACTTGTATGATGTGTAAAAATGTTGATGTGATTGTCCAATGTACATGTATATAAACTATTCTTTTCATGTTTTTATTAAAACAGAAAACACACCTATATGAAAACCCAACTGTAATTCTCATTACCACAGTTAATGATGAAGAATTCTCAATTAAACTTTCAGTTTGTTTTACTTGCCTGTCTCGTATGACTAAATAAACATTTGACTTGGATAATTTGACAATCCCATTACAACACAAGAACTTTTGATGTCTTTTTATAGTTTTAATTTCATACAAAGCCAACATAAATACATTAGAGGCAGCCATTGTAGAAGGCCAAAATATTTAACAAAAAAGTCTTTGAGGAAAGTATTACCATAGTTTTGGTTTTTGTAGCTGTCATAGAATTAGAGGATGAGAATGATGTTGTTGTACTTGATTTAAACTTCTGAAATCAAGATCAGAAAACCTATTGTGTATTTAGCTTCAAATACACCTATTATGTGTATTTAGTTATAAACGGTTGGTTTGTGTTTTTCTTTATGTGTGTTTTTTTTTCTTCATTTATGCATATTGATCTTCTCTTCCAGCTTAGATTGGTTTGATCCAGAAAAGTCATCAATCTGCAAAACAATTGTTGAATCCCAGTTAGGGGGAACAAAATCAACTTATAAAAATAGTTCCCCAAAAGAGAATTGGAAGAAAACCTCCAGGAATTATGTTTTACCTTCTGTCCATTCTTGTAGAATTGGAATGTTGGCATACATTTAATGTCACAGTAAGCGGCCACATCCTAGAACAGAGAAAAAGGGAGCGGAGGTCAGGTCTGAATAGGTTTATAACCATGATAACCATCTTTAATAGTGTCTTTTCATTTTGCTTTGCTAGTCTGGCCAGATCTATAGGGCTGAAATTACGTCCATGACATGATGGCTGTTGAAATTTTAAATCCTTTAAATGCTTAGGAAAATGCTTTGTTTCATATTCAAATCGTCTTTTTTGATATTTTCCGCCAATGGGAAATTCAGTCACAAAAAGGTCCACTGGATTGTGGGATGTGTGGATTGTTATCAGGATCTTCAAACGCTCTGCTTGCCTTTGCCATCCGTACCTTGCGATTTAAATGTCAGTCAGAAAGCATGACATTTTAACAAATCGCAAACATGTATAAAGGATTCAGCTTTATACAAACACACATCCTGTAATCTGCTTTGCAACACAGCATTGTAATAATAGCTAGTGTTTGTAACCATGCCAACATGGGCAAACATCAGAATTGTCCCATTCTGGCAGTGTCTCAATCTACCTCTGATAAAACTGAATGACAGCCAATATCCTTTCTCAGCACTATCCTGTGAATCAAATAACACACTATCAGCAAGTCGATCTGGAGAACAGCAACCAGCTGACGGGTGTGCAGGGATCTTCTTATGTGTTTGGGCCCTTTTATAAGGTTTGGCTGTGTGTGAGTATCCAAATACACTATACTACACCAGATATCCGTGTCAACTCGAGGGGGATAGCGAGGCAAGTATTCAAATGAAAGTAACACAGTAAAACCCAGATGGCGAATCTATGATGTAAAAGGGTGTTTTGCTCATTTGCCTCAATAGTCTGTAGGCTTTTGAGTGTATTCATCAGAGAAAAAAGACAGCAGGTGACTAACCTGTGCATCATCCACATCCACCTTTAGAAACACCACATTTTTGTTCTCTTCTTTTTCAGACAGCGCCTGTGGAGGGAAAAAAGGCGGTAGTAAAAAGCAGACCACAAAGCTCTCAATCAAAGCACTTCCTTTGAGCTTTAAAATTTTGTTCCTTCTGTTTCATCTGTGACATTTGCATATGCTTTCTTTTATTTCCTAAACCAGGTACAAATGAATGTGTATTGAATGAAAGTAAAAGTAAACAGCCGGTTAATGTTGTTATGTAGTTTAACCATGCGGCTGAGGTTAGTTTTTTCTTGTGGTTGGTTCTCAAGTACACCAGAATATCAAAATAAGCTATGTATTGTCTTTAAAGAATGAATCTGCACTTTTAAGGCTCTTTTTATCCCTCTCTTCTTCCTTTATCAGGACTACCTCTCATTTGCATTCTGTGAATGATTCACACTTTAATTCTTAAGGAAGCTTCCCCAGAGGTTGCCCCGACAACACAGCACAACAACAGAGCCACTCCCGATGATTCCGGGGGCCTCTAATAGAATAAACATTAGAATCATGACAGCTCCAGATGTCACTCTGAATCTCGGATGTGGTGTATGATATGAATGCTCACTTTAAAGAATGGAGCGATGTTCTGGCAGGGCCCACACCATGTGGCTGTGAAGTCCACCACCACCAACTTGTTCCCGGCATTTTTCAGAGCCTTGTCGAAAGCAGGCTGCAAAAAAGAGAGAGGAAGGAAAAGTAAATTTTATTTCAAAAACTAGCATGACACATTCCTTCCTGCTGAAGTTCATTAAAATGGCAGATGAGTCATAATGCTGTAACTTAAGCAGGGTGATTGAGATTTTTACAAAAGAATCATAATTATGGCCTATGAGGTAACAGGAAGCATTCTCAGTCATTGCTTTCTGGGGAAAACAGCTCATATTCTTTTCAATGAAATTACACTTAAGCAAAACAAGAAATTACCACTTTATGGTCCATTAATATTTAATCGAACCATTTATTACATGTATGTGTATTGTATTACATTAATTCAAATTTATTAACGACTTTGTAAGCTGCATCATAGAGCAATTTAAAGTAAATCATGTTTGAAGTGCATCGTTCTTTTGAGTTGGATTTTCAATGAGCCGGTTGACAAAAAGGTCTCGATGATTCGTTCACGAATCTGACTGAATTGATTCGAGTTCTCATCCCAGTTCTGAAGTGAGTCCACTCACTGGCTGACTCGCTACTCGATGAACCGAGAACCTGGCCTGTCTTATTCTCAACGAGTTAAGAACCGATAACAGAAATTAAACAAACGTGACAGTATGCGAAACCGAGCTGGTTCAACCTTGAACCAATGCACTTACACTATTTAATAAAATGCTACTTTACATTTATAATTCAGCAGATGTAAGCATTTTATTAAATAGTGTAAGTGCATTGGTTTAAGGTTGAACCAGCTCGGTTTCGCTACTGTGACGTCAGGTGCGTTCAATTCACTTTCGTCGGAACAAGTGCAGCAATGTGCACATTTTCTTAATTAACTACACAAAAGTACAGCAATGATTAACTCTTCTTCTAGAAGATAAAGAACAAAATGTAGACTTATGTGTGTTGGTTTTTTTATGGTTTTTATTAACTTAGGAAGAAACTAAACTTTTTTGTATTGTTATATTACAATAGCACACGTACATCACGGAGACGTCTATTTGATGTGTGTGTTTACATCTGGAAGACGTATTTTTTTGGAGTGTTTGCTCATCTGCAATACGTCTATAGGGCGTTTCCTGTCAGATGTCAAATAGACGTTTAGAAGATGTCTTTAAGATGTAATGATTTTAATGTATGTTAAACTGACATCTTAAAGATGTCTATCAGATGTTAGTAAACAGCAGATGCTTTCCAGATGAAGTGATCTTTAACAGACATCTTGCAGACGTACGTGTGCTGTCTATCATATTTTTTGCAGGCAAGCTATTTTGTTGTTTTAAAAAGGTCTGATAGTCACTGCTAAATAGTAGGCTATTGTGATATTTTCTTACTGAAACGCCCCCAAAATCTCGAGTTTGCCACTGGTATTTGCGACTTGGTGGCATTCTTGTGCGTTCAACTCGTATACGATCTTTCCGACACACCGAAATAAACATGACGTAATTACGTGACGACAAAAAGAACCGCTCTTTGAAATGAACTCTTCGAAAGAACCGATTTGCCTAAATGAGTCCGATCTCTCATGGTGTGTTCCAAGTCACACACGCCAGCACTTTCTCACTGACAAACACTTGCAAATGCACTTTTCATTTCCTTACTTTCCACTGCACTCTGCTTTGTGGTTCTGTGGGGGGAAAAGTTTCACCACCCATCTGTTCCACAAGCGTTTCAAAACAAAAATGCGCTCGTCTGTTTTTTTTTAGCTAAATACTTAAAATAAAACTTAAAATAAGTTAATAACTTATTCGAATAATATAATTTCCCCCCCAAATCAGAAGTCAAACATTAGGCTACCTATAAAGAATTACAGCCAAAGTAAAGAAAACAGCTAAAACACTGTATTATGTTCCTACCTTATCCTCAATTACGACAACCATTTTGATGTCTGTCTTTTAATGGACTTCTGTATGTTCTGAAAGGTCCTGCTTCATTGACAGCCAGAGTGGCAGCAAGAGTCATTAGCGCCGTTTATAAACACTGTCACGTAACCCCGCCTTCAAAGAAGACAACGACCCAATCATGGAATTCTGAGTTCCTATATCCCCGCCTACCGCTACACCCTACAAATATATTCAGTTGAAATAGTTCAGTAAATGCGATATATATGTGTAGGTTGTGCGCAGTTTGTGACATAAATATTTACATCACCTCTATAACGAGTAAACCTATTTATTTATCCTGAAAGAGAATCACTGTTTTGTTTTGTTATGAGCAAGTCAGAATGACTTGACAGATTCCGGGATTAGGCTACTGTACGCGCCATGACGTCACAGAGAGTAGTGGTGGACTGCTAAACTGTACAGAAACTGAACATCCAATATCTTTCACAACAGGTTTATACTATCACAGAAGAAATCACCATGAAGACAGTTGGACAGAAGACTGTTCTTAAAAATAACGCTATCTTCATGAGCAAATAGAATAAAAACATATCATGAGATTAGTCATGGGAGTAGTAGCCTATTGTTCTTTGGAATTGTTTAGTCACACTTCCTATTTTTCATTTGACAGAATCACTGTGACTATGTGTAGGCGTACCCTCAAATCTCCTGCTTCTCTATAGCCTGTTAATAAGCTGAACCTTAAGACAACATGTGCTTTATCTTGAAAGCACACATATGTGAAATTTAATTTACATCCAGTCCTTAATAAAATATTCCTTGAATTTATGTCCTGTTGATGTTTAACATCCTTTAGTGCCTGTAACAGGCAATCAGCTTTTTATTATTTTTTACTCAAAGTAGGCTACTTTTATTTTTCTGTGGAAAAAGGTAGCATTTAATGTCAGCCTATTATTTTGCGGCAGAACCATCAGACACTTTTGGATGTATCTAATAAAGAGCAAACATGTTTTACTGTGGTTTTGTGTACTGATACACCTAAAATTAAATGTTTCATAAGTCAACATGCAGTTTCGGGATGAGCCTCAACAAATGGAACATGTAAATGTATTGTCAAACTTTTTGGTTACACAGTTTAGTTTTAACTAACTGAACCGTAACCAAAATATCTGTATGTTGGAGCTGTGGCCTATTGCAGTTGACCTGTTTTGAATCTGGCTTGCAACATTTCCCCCAGAAATAATGAACATTATTAATCAGACAGTTAATCAGTATTTAATACGCAAATATAAAGATGAAATCTGAGGCTTCACATGGTTATTTGTAAACATATTGCAGTTATAGGCAGTTAATATAACTTCATGTAACATCATACTACTAAAAGCACTAGTGGACATGTTTAATTTGTAGGAAACTCAGAAGTGAAGACCAAGAGACTCAACAAGGTTGTATCTTCAGCAGGATTCTTTATTGAGAACACGAACTGTTGGTAGCTGCAGTCATCAAGTCTAAGGCAGTGTACATTGTAGTTTATAGATTTTAGGAGGCAGTGCTTAGAATTGGAGACAAAAAGCACCTGGCTGACGACCTTAAACAAAGCATGCAAATGAAGTATCCAGGTATAGGAACCCGCCCTAGACTCTAGACAGAGTGTTACCAGTCCTAATCCAACCATCATAACTATTCAAAGAATGGGCCAGGGGCTCCAAGAGCCATTAAAGACAACGGGTGAACATGTCTAAGCATGCTTCAGACTTTAACAATAGCCTTCCCAAGTCCATCGCCCTTCAGCATCTTCATGAAGGCAGTCGGCATGTTTTCAAAGCCAACAGTGACCACTTCCTTCGTCTTCAGCTTGCCCTGCAATGAAACAGTTGAATGTGATTCCAATTCACTTTCTCATTCACAGGCTGGTCCTAACTGTTATGTGCTGCGTATTAATGGTAATTATTCAATGAACTTCAGGTCATGAGCTATAAGAAGCGTAATGATCAAATATTCTATTTTGTTGTTTTAGACCAGAAAAAAGGTCCATTTCTAAAGCAGTTTACCTCTTTCTTCCATTTAAGCATTCTCTTCACAGATTCTTCATCTTTGTGTCTCCAACTTCTCACCATAAAGCCTTCTATTTTCAGTTGCCGTGTAATTATTTCATGGTGAGCATAAGGACCTATGAGAAAGAAATTCAATATTCTAATGTTGCACTGCATACTGCATAGCTTGCATTTTTCATATTCTCTACTGTCCTCTAGTGGTTGTAATGTGTAACTATTTAATATATTTTCAGTTTGTTTGATTCTAATATTAAAATGTGACATTGCGCACTATGACTTAAGAGCGGGGGACCTCCTGAAAACTTTTGAACAGGATGAAGATGTCCAATTTTTTAAAAATTTTATTTAAATATCAAGTACCGCCCTTCGGAAGCAACAGAAGATACTTATGTCTCCTGGAAGACAAATTAAGTACAATTTACCTTGATCATCAAATTCAAAAAGTTTTAACCCCCCTGGCTCTTAAATGCATCGTGTTTCCTTATGGATTCTTAGTGAATGTTTGAACTTTTTTAATAGTTGAGTTTGAATCCCTCAATTGCCCTCAGTGTGAAAAGATGGATTTCAAAATCACACACTGTTAAAAAAAAAAAAAAAGTTGCTGCCTTAAACTTTCAAGTACAATCAACTTATATGTTTAGTCATTTCAACTTAAATGACATTAAACTGACTTTAAAATTAGTTGAATCTTGTATAACATAAAAGAAAAAGTTTAAAATTGCTTAACTTCTTTTCATGAGTAAAAGCAATGTAAAAACATATGTTGTCATAACTTTTTACAGTGCTGGAAAGGGTTCAAATATGCAAAATATGCTAGAAAAACTGAAAAAAATTCTGAAGAACATTGGGCAGTTTAACTGGACAAACAAGGGCCTCAAGAACAACCATCACAAAAAAAGAAAAGAAAAAAAGTCGTGGAATCAAGGGTATGTAAACTTGAATTATTCTGTTCATACGTTAACTCCATCACCATGTCCCTTTAGTTTCTCAGACTTACACATCTGAGGTGTTGTGTCATTGTACGTGGCTATTGCACCGCAGACAGCGATACGACCACCTGGCTTCATGTTTTTCAGTGCTGCAGTAAAGAAGGGCCCTCCCACCTGGAGAACATTACACACACACACACACACACACACACACACACACACACACACACACACACACACACACCAATTGTGTTATTTATCTGAGAGCTTATAAAATCTTAAGAATACTTGTTAATAAGTAGATTGAATGTTAGAGGCAAAAATACACATGTAATGTTAATTACATTCTCAAAATAGCAGTCGTATCCTTCAGGTGAAGCTTTCTCCAGTGTTTCCTCCAGTGATGGGACAGTCTTGTAGTTGAAGGCCTGGTCAAAGCCCAGTTCCTTCAGGTATGCCACCTTGTCATCACCACCTGCTGATCCCACAACCTTGCAGCCTTTGATCTTGCAGATTTGACCCACCATTGCACCCACAGCACCTGCGGCTGCACTCACCAGAACCGTCTCACCTGGCTGTATCTTACACACCTCTTCCAGGCCATACAGAGCAGTTAAACTAGAGGAAAAAGGGGATGGGATTTAGACAAATAACAAAAAAAAACAACAAAAAAAATTTTTTTCTAATGATTGTGAAGGAAGTGTTGGTTTTGTGTTTGTGCGCTTATTGCTACTGAGAATCAAAGAATAAAAAAGAGAGCATGATCGTGAAACCTTATTTTCTTGCAGTCTATCTGTGTCACTGCCTTCATTTAAGTAGTGATTAAATTACCCAGGCATCCCTAAGGAACCGAGGGCTAGGGACATTGGAATGTCACTGGGCCATTCGGATACTATCCGGGTCAAGATGGTCCCGGCTGGACCATTTGCTTTGGTTACAGTGTGTGTTCTCCACCCACAATCAGCAACCACGTAACATCCCTCAGGAAATGCTGGGTCCTTGCTCTTCAGTACCCTGACAACCAAACAATGAGATATTTATTCAATGATATGAATTGTTGTTTTTGTTGACCTGTTTCCTCACTTGAATGCTTGAATACTTGAATTTACTAATGCAGTATAGCCTATGCAAATTGAAGTCTACAGTCTTCTATGTAAACTGTGAATTTCTTTGTTGCTCAAGATGTTTTTCCACTCGTCTAAGTGGAAGTGTCTTTAGCGGTTGATGCAACTGAAACCACATTGATGAGTGCACTGAACAGCTTGAGGAACAGATCCAGATGCTAGACATTCTGAACAATATTACGATATATTATTGAACATGTTACGATTACTTGGATCATTTTCTTTCCCTTTTCACCAATGAACATGCTTTATTTTCTGTAATCATTCTGTATAACTGGACTGAATCTATGGTATATCACTAGCAAAAAGTGTAACTAAAATGTGACAATAGATTACAATACAAATGGTAAAATTTGTTGTTTTCCTACTTTGCCAGCTGAGCTCCATACTGTACATCCCCTTCTTTCTGCCACATTTTACTCAGAGATCTACAGAAACAGCAGGAGACATTTAGAAACACGAGCTAGACACATCACATAAGTTAAATAAAGAGATGGTATATGTTCTAATAAGAAAGACTTTAGAGCACCTTTACCTCATATAAGGATCAAGACTGAAATAAATCGCCTCCACAAGCACGTCTGAAGCAAAAGGATTAAATCAGTGAGGCATCGAACAGGTAGCAAAAAGACAAATATATGAATTATCTATACCTCCATCTTGAAGCTCTGGCAGAACTTCTTCTCTCAGTTCAAAGTTACTTTCCTTAGGAAAGCCCTCAAAATGTTTTTTGAGGATCCATGTCTTTGCTTTAACCATGATTGTATGTCAAAAGCTGCACAGGGCACAGTCTTCAAACTGGAAGTTGTTCTAAGGGAGAACAGCGCTGCCTTTTATTGCAGTGATGACAATGAACACTCTTACGTAACAAAACGTCTTTATAAATTGACATGACATTGCAAATTCTTGTAACCTTTATACTGATATTAATGGGTGAGGTGCGTAACGTCTGACCCAATTTCGTTTACCATAAGCTTTCAATATTTTTTTAAAAAATGCTGTCCTTAAAATTGTAAACAATATTTCAGGAGTAAATCACCTCAGGTACCCCAGCACTGCACATTTTCGATGTAATCAGGTGTGTTAGATAAAGGAAAGATGACCTCAACTGTGCATCCCTTTACGAAAAATAAGTTTATTCAAGTGTTCTATTAGTATACTTCTTTTCAACTTAAAATAAGAAAGCATACTTTCAGTCTACATTTTATATACTTCTCAAAAATATACTTTATGTACTTCTCAGAAATTTACTTCAAATTACACTTGACTTATTCTGAGAGAAAAGTCCAAGTATATTTGGCCTGTACTTATACTCAATCTTTTGATCGAGATATACTTAAAAGTATAATTAAGTATTCAAAGTATACTTGGCTTGCAGTGGGTCTTTTGATCGAGTAGCCTATTAAATATATTCTTTTTTTACATAGTTTTTCATATACAGTGTTATAAAACTTATAATGTTTGAAAATATTGATATAAAACAGATATGTTTTTAATTCTGCATCTCTGAATTTTTGTGTAGGCTAGTCCACTGGTAGTGAACATTGGAATTGACTTTAATTCTACTTTACTCTTTCCCCAACATTGACTGAATTTTCCAGCTATCCATGTTTTCACTGTTGTGCGGTAGGGGGCGCAGACACATCTTCTAGTCAGTGTTGCCAGATTGGGCGGGTTCCCGCCCAATTGGGCGGTTTTAAATTTGATTGTGCGGGTAAAAAAGGGTTTGGGCGGGTGGTCAAAATTTGGGCTGGTTTGGGATCATTTCGGCGGTTTTCAAACATCTACATTTTAAAGTCTAATTGGTTAAAAAAAAAAAACGAAACTAAAGTGCATGTAGTCCATAAAATCAGTCATCATGACATTATTGTACACACACGCTCATGCAGAGTCAGCTGGCGTTAGTGTTGACATCACCGACGAGCACGCACTTTTAGCCAATCAGCGATCCGCAGGCAGACGCGATTGAGCGCGAGAAGTTGTAGCTGTATATTCAAGTGATCGCTAAGGCAAAGTGACATAGCCTACTATACAAAAGAGTGTACAGTAGTACTAGTCTAGTGAGCAACTCTAAAAAAACGCACACGTGGAAGGAGATCACTCTATGGTGAATAACTCTGAGAGGAGAGCACAGTTGAATGACTTGAATTGAAATCAAATATGGGACGATTCCTGTCCATGTCATATGTGCACACTAGCCTAACCAAACATCTGCAACTTTACACCATCCAGACTGCACTCTACTTGTCCCTGACAGCTGCTGAAAAAGGTTTGAATCAACGATGAATTTTGACTGCTAAATTCTGCGTTATGTTTTGCAATGTGTACTCCCGAGGGTTAAAGTCATCGGTTCATTTCTTGATTGCCGTTTTGACAGTGTCCACCTGGACATTTTAGTCATATTGGCTAATTATCCTTAATTATTGCCCTGTTTTGATCTGTTTTGCTGGAATTTTTTATTTTTTTTTATCATCGTTATTTTGTTTTAAGGAGATACAAATTGTGCTTATCAACCTTAAATAACATGGTAATGAAATTATATCACATTATTTTGGCAGTAAAATTTTGGGCGGTTTTTTCTTGTAGTGGGCGGGTTTTGGTGAGCTTTTAGGCTGGAAATCACCGTCCCAATCTGGCAACACTGCTTCTAGTACAGAATCTCCGGATCAAACACAGGAGAAGAAGAAACTGAAACAAGTGATAGAAGATTGCTCACTCAAATGTAAAATAATGTGATCATCAAACATTAAACTGCGTGTAAATCTAAACTGCTTAATGTTTCCAAATGAAATGAAGCGTAACCCATGAAGAGAAAACGACTGTGAAGTCGTTAAAATAGTAAACTACTAGTATACCCATAAGTTCACTTGCAGTACAAATGAGAAACGTAATTATGAACTAGTTGTGCACTTAAAGTTTACTACTGTTACACTTATAGTACAATTAAACATATACTTTTATATACTACAAGTGGGCCAATTTAGTCCCAAGCGGTATTAAGATAGTACACTTACAAGTTTACTACTAGTACATATTGACATTAGTATACTTACTACTTAAAGTATACTTAAAAATATACTTGAACATTACTTAAGTATACTTCATAAAATTAACTTGAAGTATACTTCTTTTTCGTAAGGGATGTCATAAAATGTGTAGTGCTGAGGGGCCTTATGCAGATTTATTCTTGGTTTTAAATATTCCAACTTCTAGGAGGATTGTAGTAAATTTCATTCAGCAGACATTCAAACATTATGAATACTGAGTGTGTGGTAAACTTCAATGTTGTTGGTTTGTGGATGAAAAGTGGTTTCATTTTCTGATTTGTTATCAGAAATATCAGAATACAACTTTTTTAATGCACAGTCAGCATGACTTTGAAATTACCTGATAACCATGACACTGCATAGTAGGCTACTACTGTATATAGCTACTATATAACAAAGAGGCGTTGACGCCCAAATCAAATCAATGTTGTTATTCCATAATCCATATATACCATTAAAATATGGTCTGTCATTCTGAAATGTATTTAAATGCATTCCGAATCAACACACTTGCAACACTAAAGCTACTACAATTTTGCCATGATGAAATACATGAATCTTTCCTTTGACTCTCCTTTATGAACATTTACTAAGAACTACGATTCTTTCATCAATAGCCACAAGATGTCAGTGTTCCCTCAAGTTTTAAAGGAGACGTACACATTTGTGTTGCGTCATTGTACGTCACTACCCAACACCCAGTGGAGGTAGTAAAAATACGTACTTATTTTAAATTTTAAGCTCATGTAGATCCTCTGCTTTTATATCAAAATAACGTTCTTAGAAATCATGTCTTTTTAGAAACTTCCTTTAGAAAACTCTAAGAAGTTTGTAGAATCAGTCTCTAACTCTTATACTGTTGTTGGAAACCTTGCCCCTTTTATTAAACAGTTAAAATGGAAGCCTAATCAGATTCTAAAGATAATGGTTAGTTGGACATATTCCCTTTATTGCAAAGCAACCCTGTAACCTAGCTTATCGAATTGCATAAAAAAAAATAAAAAAAAAATCTCACTCACTCACTGTCCATTAGCTCATCTAGAATAGATCCTGATGACTTGGCTTTTTTTTTTTTTTTGTGGCATAAAAATCTTTTATTTCTTCTTTGTGCATATCTGTCCTAGAGGAAGAAAATGTGACACTAATTTACAAAAATCAACTTTATTTGTAAAACAAAATAAAGGACACAACATTATTAATGCAGAATCTATGCCTAAAACAACATGATTGTTGTTATATGAGCAAACCACTGAAGCACTTGATATCAGACTTTAACGATGGCTTTCCCGATGTTCTCCCCCTGCAGCATACCCATGAATGCAGCAGGCATGTTTTCAAACCCAACAGTGACATGTTCCTTACACTTCAGCTTTCCCTGTAAACCGCCAAATCAAGAGAAACTGCATCATTATCCAAATATGAATACTGAGATAAAGCTAGTATCAACCAAGCATGCGGATGTACCTCTTGCATCCAGGTCAACATTCGCTTTAGAGACTCCTCATTTTTATTTTCCCACCTGCCCACCAAGAATCCTTCCATTTTCAGCTGCTTAAAAATCATGTGCATGTGTGGATAAGGACCTAAAAAGGACATACACATTATCACAGCTGTAAATGAACAGGAGTCTATGTCTACCCAATTCTTCATGTCTAATTTTATGCTTCAGTAATGGTGACTAAACTTTTTTTGCATTGCTAACAGGTATTGACTCTATAGTGTAAAGGTCATTCAAAGCACCCTCTCCTGAGCTGTGTTCGAAATCATTTCCTATAACCTCATTCACTATTCCCTACATCATCACTCCACTAATATAGTCCACTTGAAGGAGTGAATAAAAACGAGTGAGCGAATTCGGACACGGATTGCGCCGAAGGGCTGCTGCTTTTGTATAATTTGTGCTTGAGGTTTAATTATCATTTGAAACTTAGCAAACTGGCAACTCCAGTAGTATTGCAAAGATTTATTTTGAACTCTATAAATGAAACTAGCATGTATAAACCTTATTTATATAATTTAATAATCAATTAAAAAGGAATTTGATTTGTACCTGTATGATATTAAGCTGTACCCACATTGAACCAGAGGTTTGGAAAATGGATGGATGGATGATTCACCTGTGAGTGGCATCTTCTGATGAGACGCGGGAATTAATTCAGCATGACCTTCACAGTGCATTATGGGTATTCTCTGGCTGTTAAGTGTACATCAGTTGTACACTCGTTATTGCAGTGCATTGTGGGATTGAATGAGTGCACTTGATAATGTCCACTGCACTATGGTTTCGGACACCACTACAAATGGCTGTCCTCCAAATAGTGCCCTATTTAAAGGTATAGGGGTTGATTTCGTACACAGCCCAGGTTAACAGCACCATGAGAATCACACACATAAAGAGATTCAAACCTGTTTGTGGCATGGTGTCATTGTACATTGATATTCCTCCACAAACAGCAATACGCCCAAAAGCCTTCATCTGCGGAATAGCAACACTCGAAAAAGGGCCACCCACCTGGAAACCAAATCAAATCACTGAATAATCAAGATTACGAAGATGTCTTTTTTAATTAAAAAGGCCCACAAAAAGGTATAGTTATTTGACAGTTAGTATTAGAAAATATATTAACCTATTAGTACCAATCAGTTCTTACATTCTCAAAATAGCAGTCATATCCTTCAGGTGAAGCTTTCTTTAGTGCTTCCTCCAGTGATGAGACAGTCTTATAGTTAAAGGCCTGGTCAAAGCCCAGTTCCTTTAGGTATGCCACCTTGTTATCACTTCCTGCAGATCCCACAACCTTGCAACCTTTAAGTTTGGCAATTTGACCGACTACAGAGCCCACTGCCCCTGCGGCTGCATTCACCAGTAAGGTTTCTCCTGGTTTAATGGCACAGACCTCCTCCAAACCGTAGAGTGCAGTCAGCCTGTGGCACACAGTTAATGTTATCTATTATCTATTCGTGTATCATTTTATCATATAAAGTTTGATTTCTATTTGGTGCCTCAAAAAAAAAAAAAAATCCAGTACAATTTGTAAAGAAGTTGAAATAGGATTGCATCAGAATTAACAAAATGATCCAAAACGAATGACATTAAACAGAGAACATGTGGGAAACAAATGTTTGTCGTGTAAAGCCAAGTGAATTACAAAACACATCTACTTTTCTCAGAACTCGGTAATGTCTACTCACAACATCTGTGATGCTCTCTAATGCGCTTAAATTAAACATCAGATAATGACTATAAATGTGGATTATAGTCATACTTTGACCTACCTTTCCCAGACCATTTGTAAAAGAAGCAATTGTGGGTTTGAAAGAAGCAGTGGGTCTTACCCTGGCATGCCAATGGCTCCGATGGCATGGGAGAGGGGGACATCTTGAGGCCAGTCAACAAAGACTTTGATGAGATCACTCCCATCTGACACAGTATGTGTTCTCCAACCACATCGACCAACCACATGGCAGCCCACGGGAAATGAAGGATTATTACTTTGAATCACCCTATAGTCAAATTAGAAGAAAGAGACTTTGATTGGAAAATTAAATGATCACATTAAGTAATTCTTTTTTTGAAAGTGGTTTATAAATCACCAGCTCCAATAAGTTTATAGTCGGCATTAAAATGGAAGTTGCGAGAAACTTATAAGTGAAATAACTTGTAGAACAAGAAAAACTGTAGGGTGGGACTTGATTTTGTCCTTGTGACTCATGTGAGTAAGTGATTGTCCTGATGTCGTTGCAAGAGAGAGGGGAAGTTACTTTCATTAAAGATTACAAGGGTACATTATTTAAAAAATAATGAGGTGCACGGATAAATTATTTATAACAAACATTGCAATATTTCATAAAAATAAGAATGGTCTATTTTGATTCTGTGACTTTAAAAAGGAGAGGCATTGTCCCATTTAAAAGAAACATTGTAAAAACACAAACTGGTTTTAAATGGTCTCTTAAAGTATGCACAGTTTAAACAGTCATCACTTTTACAATCATGCCAGTTTTTGATCTAACTATCTAATGGTCAGTGATGGTAAATGAGTTGCAAATGCATTTCTTTTCGAATGATAACCAGACGGTTGGAAAACTCAGAATAATCATGGTTTCATTTGTAATCTTGATGAGAGGGATTGAACAGGATGAAGCCAACTGTTATTGAACTGAATAGCTATTTCTTTTACTTGGCAACTTGAGTTCCGATCATCACGTCTCCTGCTTGCATTCGAACACGACTGTAGGGTCTAGAAGAAATTAAAAGATAAAATTGTATATTATGGGGATATAAAAATGAATGCCTCAAACATTTCACACAAATCAAAAAAGGAATGATTTTCAAAAAAGCACGATCAGTATGACATGTAATCAGGCCCTTAAATGTAGATATTAGTGCAGCTGCTTATTACAGCTGTCTCACTCACCGCATATAAGGGTCCACACTCAGGAACAGTGCCTCCAGAAGAACCTCTGAAGAGCAAGAATAAATGATATTTAATAGAGCAAATTTGAAAAATATAATGTGAAATTTAAAGAGAACAAACCTCCATCTCTGGGCTCAGAGAGCTTCTCTAGTTTCAGCTCAAAGTCGGTGTCTTTGGGAAAGCCCTCAAAGTGCTGCTTCAGAACCCAGGTTTTAGCTTGAGTCATGGCTCTTTGTTTGGAACTGTAAAAGTAAACAAAATTATTATTGCATACATAAGTTAACACATGCAAAGTATAAAAATAAGTTGTGTAACCTTCAAAACAACAGACTGCATTGATTTGCTTACACATCACATCAGCAATATAGCCTAAAAAAAAGTAGCGTAACTAGTTTGTATGACACAACTAAGTAACCGTAATAATATAAGTGAACGACGCCTCGTGATGCCAGCCCAAAGAGGCACAAAATCCCTCAGTCTCACGGACCGTTTCCTGGACTCTTCCCAGCTGGTGGAATGGTCTGTCTATCTCAATTCCAGCAGCTGAGTCTTTAGCCATTTTCAAAAAATGTCTAAAGACACATCTTTTTCAAAATGTCTAAAGACACATCACATTTTTTTTCTTTTTGACCAATTAATACTAGCACTTACCGTTTCTATTCTATACTATTTGTTTTTCTGATTTAAAAAAACAACAACAAAAAAAACAACAACAAAAAAAACACTTGCTTTGTGTACTGTGCTAGACTGAATGAGACTTGTTACAGCACTTGTATACTGTTGCCCTCCTGCTGGTCTGATTGCTTTTATTGTTCTCCTCATTTGTAAGTCGCTTTTGATAAAAGCGTCTGCTAAATGATATAAAACAATATGTATATATACTTTACAAAGTGACCTTAAATCCTATTTATTTAACCTATTGCTTTCAAAAAATGTATAATTGCATAATAGACTTTATACTGTGCTGAAGCATTCTTTAGTATTGCCTTAAGTGTTACATTTTCAATATTCAGAAACCTTAATTCTTCCTGAATTAACCATAAGTATACATACCCGTTAATGTACACAAAGCTCTCTATTCTTCTATACTTCCTAGTGTTGCGCAGAGAACTTGTTTAAGGCCCTCCCACAGCCTGCTACATCCTCTATGGCTACATCTTGGCTGAATCTCAATCATGTGACCTTTTGTATTTATCTGATTGGCCGACTAGATTTGTCAATCATCTTCAATGAAGAGGCTTCTGATTTTTCCCCCAGTAAGTCAACTTCTATATATTTTTTATACAGTTTTAAGCAGCATTATAATAGTATTCCAACTTCTATGGCAATAAATAAGCTTTTGAAATAATATAGTTTGAGAAACCACCCACCCCCACGTCATGTGACGAAAGCAAGCGCGGGCATTTCGGAAGTGTGGCACGCAAGCGAGAAAGAAAGACTGCAATAACGTTACATCAAAACGCAAACGGTGTTTTTAAAGGTAGGGATATTTTTAATTATATACTGCTTTGTGACATACATGTCAAAGTCCGTTTTAACTGAATTGTGGCAAATGTATTAGCGGTTGTAAGTTACTCAGATAATTAGCAAGCAAGATAAAGAGCTCGGTTTAACGGCTCTTGATATTCAAAATATTGTAACATTAACGTTATTCATCTGATATTCTGACGTTAAAGCTAAAGCAACTTTGACTTTAGCTGTCTTTGCGGTATTGGTCATTTGTCATGACCATAGACTGAAGGGAAAAAAAAACTTGTTGTGGAAACTACTTTTTCCAAATCTGGTTTTCACAGAAGAACATATCATAATGTTAGCTGCTAAATTACCACAGCGATGTATTAACGTAACGTTACTGTTTATCAGTCACTTTCATCACGTCTAACTGCAGCAGACGTAAAGTTATGTGGGTTTACTTGGCTAACGTTAGGCTGAAAGGCTCTAGATGAGAAACTAAAAATAAGTGCACATTCATTGTCTGATGAAACTTTGAGCAAAGCAACATGTTTGTTTATAACCTGTTCACCTGAAATTGTTAAACTTTGAATTTTAATTATAGTTGTTTGGTCTTTGAATATAGCTTACACAGGTTGTTACAAGCGTTGTGAGACTATACAAATTCTTTGTTTTGATTTGTAAAAATGGTTTCAATTCTAAAAATATTTATGTAATGTTACAGTTAGTTGTAAATATGTATGTGTGTGTGTGTAATAAATAAATTACTCCTTGATGTTAAATAATAAGAAATGTTTTTTGAGCACCAAATCAGCATATAAAATTATTTCTGAAAGATCAAGCTACATTGAAGACTGAAGTAATGATGCAAAAAATTCAGCTTTACCACGTTTTATTTATTTTAATATATATATATATATATTTTTAAATTGTAATAATGTTTCCACAACATTACTGTTTTTATTATATTTCGATTAAATAAATGCATAAGAGACTTCTTTCAAAAACATTTTGAAACCCAAACTTTTGAACGGTAGGTTGTGTGTGTGTATGTTTTCCAGTTTGCACACAGTACAGTATTTTGCAGCACTCAACCCGGTGGGACCTCCTTTTGTGAATGCATATAATAAGTCAGGCTTGCCATAATGTCCTTTGACTATCTGCCTTAGGATAACTGAATATCTGACGTGTGAGCCGAGTTCACATAAGCAGACATGCTGGATGGGGCTCAGTTCGTTGAGGCATTGTCACGGTTGGGTTACCCACGGGCGTCTGTGCTGAAAGGTTCTGAATTTGACTGGTTATTTGACACCGCACCAGAAAACCTGCACCTTTTACGTGTCGTCTGCAACCGCCTAAACCGCAACAATGTTCTAACGCCAGAAGAATTGCAAGCATACAAGGCACTCCGGGAGTCTGGTAAGCTCAACTTGGATGAGGCAACTCTGGCTGAGCTGCTTAAAACCTGCTTGCCCGTGGATGGAGGTGTAGGGTCACAGGGCGGTTCTGCGCTGGGTGGAGAGGGAAATGTGACAATTGAGGACCTCGAGACAGAACTTCAAGCTCTCCGAGAGGAAAAGCAGCTAAAACAACGCAGACTCAACAAGCTGCAGATGCTAGCTACCAACTGGGGTGCGAACTCCTCTGCATCCCAAGCACTGCTGCAGGAAGGAGGCAATGTGGTAAAAGATGCCAACTCTGCCTTGGCAGCTGAAAATGCATGCACCAACTCAGCAGTAGAGAACGTATCAAAGGAGACCACCAAACTGGCTGGCTTTTTCCAAACCCGCCCTCATTTCCTTGGGAGTAAAGATGGAGCCGCTCCACCTTTAGTTCCTCAATCAGGAACCCCAGTACTCCCCTCTCAGTTGTCTCTAGAGCCGTTCCTCCAGCAACAGGAGCAATTCACCAAAGCGTTGGCTGCCTACACTCAGCGTCAGTTCTTTCAGGGCATCTCGGACATGATGGAGAGCTCCACATTCAATCGCTGCCAGCTGACAAATCTGAGCTGCTGCAGTGAGAATGAGGAAGAAGAGAATGATGGACTAGTGGAGCTCAGGAGGAAAGAGATGGCACAACTCCAGTGGGCATATATAGTGGCACAGTACCAGCTGGTGAAAGAGAGGGCAGAGGAGTGTGGTGACAAAGCAGCAAAAGAGTGGCTCATCCAGCAAATGAAAAGCAGCACAGAGGTAAACACAGTTTAAGAATGATACTTTTTTATGGCAATCTGTGTATTTCCTTTGGTCCTTTGTTTTTCAAGACTTGTAAAGTTGAACAGAAGCAAAGACTATATACACCATGCAAAAGTTTGAGTCAGTAAGTGTTTTTTTTTTCTTTCTTTTTTTTCTTTTAAGAAATTCAGCAAGAGAACGCATTAAACTGATGAAAAGTGACCGTAGAGATATTCATAATATTACTTAGGATTTCTATTTCAAGTAAATGGTGTTCTTTTGAACTTTCTATTCATCGAAGAATCCTGAAAAAATTTAATCACGGTTTCAACAAAAATATAACAATAACATTGAAAATATTAATAAATATTTCTTAAAGGTGCATTGCGCACCTCTCTGAGTTTTTGCAGAACTATGCCCCCCTCTGGCGACAAGCAAAACTGCCTTACTGTCTTTGTCTTGCGTGGAGTTTGCGTTGGGGTTTATGAACTACAAGCCGGTCTCTTTGAATCCATCTTCTACTTTTGTCGAAAGTTGACTGAAGTTTTGTCGCTCGAGTTGTCTTCGCTGATACGGAGAATGGCGGCGAATAGACAAACCTGCCAGACATAGCCAGGGGAGCGTGAACGCGCATGACGTCACGCCCAGTCTCACGTTCCGGCCCGAATCCCTCTTATTTATTTTACTGTACAGGATTATAGAGGCAATCGCAGTGATCAGAGAAGGGCTCATTCAGCCCATCAGGCAATTGTTTAAGCATGTATGGGTTAGAAAAACGGGTATTTTTAACATGAAATGTTGCGCAATGCACCTTTAAGGACCAAATCAGCATATTAGAATGATTTCTAAAGGATCATGTGACACTGAAGACTAGAGTAATGGACAAAATAAAAATAAAATATTTTAAGTTTTAACATTTTAAATTATATATAATTTAAAGTTAATACTTTTTTAACCACTATTCTGACATGTTCCCAAGTAAATTTGGTTGTAGATAAACACACTGTGCTAGGAGAAGAAACTTGTGCGTGTGACTTTTAAATAATGATACAGTTGAGGCATTATTTTCTGTCTCTTGGATTGAGTATTACCTATAAATGTTTCTAATTTTCATTCTTCCCTCCCTCTCGTAGTCTCTGTGCTACTCACATGTGAGCAGGCTTGAGCCTGATCTACGGTCTGAGATCCTCTCAATTCAGTCTGAAATTCAGTCTCTAATGTTAGACCCTGTCCGCTCCGCATTACGAGACTGTGCCCGCCTCCTTAACATCCCCGTGGTGCGTGGTGACCTCACTCTTCAAGTAGCCAGGCAAAATTACTACACCTCCAGACAGAGCGAAGTTCGCAACCAGCTTCTCAGTCAGAAGGCCTTCTTCGAACTTGTGCGTCTGGCCCAGGATGCTGAGCTCCTTAGGGGGAAGAGGGTGATGGAGCAACTTGATGAAATGGTGAAGAGGCTAGAGGGGGCAGCAGAAGCTGCTACTCAGAGAGAAAACACTCTGACACAAACTCACTTGACTCAAGTCCCCTACCTTGGTCCTAATGCTAAACAACAGATCATGAGCTCCAAAGACACAGCCTTTAGCAGGTAGCCCACCATGTGTGGAGAGAAGTTTAATTTACAGTTTTTTACAGTTTCTTAACCATGTAATGCAGGTTGAGATTGTAAGACTATATCCTGTGTTCATCCTTCAGGTTGCTGCAGATGCTCGAGATGGGTAAGTCCTCAATGGAAAGAGAGGATCCATTCCAAACCTACGATAGGCTGGAAACAGCAGCCTCCAACCTACAGGAGAATCTGGTCAATGTACAAGAGGCTTTGGATGGGGCCAGACGAGAGCAAGCCTTTACTGGAGCTCGTTTAGAAAGTGACCGAGATGCGCTCGACCAAGTGGCGTACTCGGACATTGTGCAGCCTCTCCTGAGGCCGCAGGTATGTGCTACAGCCAAATCTGCACTGGAGCTCTGCCCTCATGCACAGGTATGTCTTTCTTGTCTTTCTTTTTTTTCAACCTTACCGCCATTTTCTACATCATCCCTTGTGAATCCCAAGAAACGTGAGCAAATTAATTTGTCAACATTCATGACTTGTAAAAAGCATGCACCTCTCATTATTGTTTGGTGGTGGATTTTTCTGCATAGTAATTTTTTGGTGCTGTTTTAAGACTTGGTGTTTTCATTCTTTGTGAAAAGATTCAAAATTGTCTGGCTTCTGTATTCTTTCCTGTCACTGCAACACCTCACTATCTATGAAAGACATTTTATTGGACTGTGATATTTGTTTTCTCCTCTGAGAACAGGCTTTTTAGCTTTTTAACAAAGTTAGTCCAGAATCACTTTTAGAGTTTTAAATGGACCTTAAATTTTAGTTGTTTTATCTATTTTTATATTTTAACCTGGATAGGCCATGACATTTAAAACAATTCAATATTGTTTTCAAAATTCAAAATACTATATTCAACACACATAATATTTAATTTCTCCTCTTCACTTCTCATTTTAAGGTAATCTTTCAAATTGAATTTCTTGCATACACAGAAAGCAATCAGTGTTCATTGGTAGTTTAAATCCTCTCTGTCTGACTTGTTCCAACCTACTCTCTCTGTTTAGGAGCTCACAATTGTTCTAGATGAGCTGGAGGTCAAGCAAAAGACCTTGTACGCACTTCTTCAGGATATAGTTGGAGACTTGAAGGCCAAACGAGGGAGACTTGAACGCAGTGCCTCCCTGAGGAGAGAGAGGGAACTCTATGTCTATTTCCATCTGGATCCAAGACTGCTCAGTAGAGCAGTGAGAGATATAGAGGCTAGAGCAGGAATGTAGAATCAGATCTCCTTTGTCTTCACCAGCCAACATATACAGAGGTCCCTGCTGCAAAAATATGTCTGACTGAGAAATGAATGTTAGATGGAGATTAGGACATGGACCATTGTTGCTTTTATGTTGTCAGCTCCATAGATCTTATATTCTCATGTATTCTTTTTTAATCTGCTAAAAGTGAATGTTCTTTAGGTATGTCAAATTTGTGTTCAATGCCTACAGTTTCACATTAATTTGCATTTGTACTTATACAAATGAGCCACACCTTGTATAAATAATGGTACTTGTAAATGTTTTATGATTTAACTGTTCTATCTTTGTGAATAAACATATGTATATGATGGAGCAAATATTTTTTTGTGTGTGTTTTCAAAACTTTTTTGTTGTTGTTGTTTTTTGCTTAAACTCAGTTAAGAATTTCATCTTATTAAAAAGACCACAAGAAAAGACCAGTCGACTGTGTATTATATTGTGAGTGATAGATCTGAGTTGACTGACAGACATTGGACCAATGGATTTCCACTCATATATTGTGTAGTGGAAGAGTATGACAGCAGTGTTGCTTGTGCACATTTGATCCCTTTACTGTCAGATTTCCAGCACCTCTTCTTAAATTGCACTGCTATTTTTCTGCATATGTGACTACAGGGTTAAGACAGACTAGGAGAGCAGGAAATGAGATGGAGAACTACCTCTGCAGCAGTCTGAACGCAGCTCCTCTCTCTGCAGCTGCACAGAGCATCATAGCAGCCCTTCAGTTCCAGTATGTGCACAGAGCAGACAGAAGCAGAGCTAGTGAGTTAGAAACATTCCAACAATATTATTAACTTGAGACTAGTTTTGGCCAATACAATTTTGTATTTTATTGGTTTGTTCACACAACTGTCTGAGGGAATCTGTTCATTCAAAATTACAGCCTTGAGTAGTAGAGGCTTCAGACTGTCTCAGCATCAGGGCAGAGATGACAGAAATCAAGAGATCTGCACAGGGAAAATCAGGTGAGTAGTAAGGGTTTTAGATAAGTTGTGGACATATATTGAGCCAACAATACTTAATATATTATTTTCTTTACTACAAATAAAATGATTGTTCATTTGATTGTTTTGAACTTAAAATTCTGATTGTTTTTGGCTTGAACAAATTAACATTGATAGTATTTATTCTCTGATTGTGTTATCTTTTAATTCATGTGTTCTTTCTCTCTTTAGAGACTTGGACTTAAATAATCTGGCAGAAGATTCAAACCACTTCATGCTAAGGGATGAGACCAGTAATGAGAGGTTTGCACTCTACTATGCTGGTGATATCATAAAGCCCAACACCCAGCCTCATATACCGGTAGCACAGGGAGAAAACAGTTTATGCTTGTTCCACTTTAATAGCGTGGGGAGCCCTCAGGCTAGACCAGACGTTATGACAGAAGAAGAGATCCATAAACTGACCTTGGGTAAAAGGCGGTGGATTCAACCAGCAAGCCCCATTGAAAAAGGCCCAGTAGGTTGTAATCAACATGAGGCTACCCCAGTGAAGAAGATCAGCTTTAGCCAGCTTACGTTCCCTACTAACAACTGTCATCCAGCATCCAAAGAAGAGTGCAAAAGGATTGATAATGTGGACAAGCAGAGTAAGAATGGACAGATAGACCAATTATGGAGCTGTCGATCAGGGTTGACAGAGAACGATAACTATGATTCTGTTTGTGAGGAAATCTCAAAAGAGGCTAGAGCTGACAAAGCTGTGTTTATACAAGTGCAGCATAATAGTTTTACATCTAATGCAGAGAAACCAACATATAAGTATCAGGATCTGGAGACCAGCCATTGCCGGCAAGATAATCGAAACTCTGAATTGTCAGCTCCAGTGGAAAATTGTGCTTATGCCAAAAGATGTGGGAGCATCTTTGTCTTTGAATGTGAGCAACACACACCTGTTAGGCCAGGTGAAATACTGGACTCAGTGAGGGAGAAAGAAGACAGCGACTCAGAACAAAGAGAGATTACTAAGAGCAGAACTAGTAAGTACAACGCTTGATGGACTTCTAGACAATACAAATACATATTAAAAAAAATTCTTATTCTTTCTATTGTATATTCTCCCAGTGTTTCTGCTTTAACTTGACTGAACATTTTTTTCATTTGCAAACAAATTGTGCACCAGTTCTTGATCAAACCAATTTCAGAGTGTTATCAAGATAATTAATAATTTGTGGATTGATGTTTAAAATAGTTTTAGATGGTGTATAGCACATTGCAGGACATGTCAACTTTCCATAAATACAAGCTAATGATAAACAGACACTACCCACTGGACAGAAATTAGCTTCTTTTTATCGTACATGCAGGTTCTCCCAAGTCAGATGAGAATACAATCCTGATGCCTGTTGAAGAGAGAACTGGAAAGATGGAGTCTACAGTACACCCCGCCAGTGTTGGTGTGCAGCACAGCATCCAGCCCCGGTCTCAGGTAATGCACATACTCCAGAGCAGAGAGAAGGCAGTCCTTTTCATCTACGAGGTGTATTCTGTGTGAGACTCTAAAGTGATAAGAAAGTGCAGCACAAGTAAAAAGTGGTCTTTTAGGGATCAGTTTACGTGTAAATGTTTGAGCATGAGGATCACTCTCTACTCAGAAGGCTCAGAGTGGTCCATTAGCAGTGCTGCAATGTGGGAATGAAGATAAAGCATTTATATTATAATATATACACTCACCGGCCACTTTATTAGGTACACCTGTCCAACTGCTCGTTAACACTTAATTTCTAAGCAGCCAATCACATGGCGGCAACTACGTGCATTTAGGCATGTAGACATGGTCAAGACAATCTCCTGCAGTTCAAACCGAGCATCAGTATGGGGAAGAAAGGTGATTTGAGTGACTTTGAACGTGGCATGATTGTTGGTGCCAGAAGGGCTGGTCTGAGTATTTCAGAAACTGCTAATCTACTGGGATTTTCACGCACAACCATCTCTAGGGTTTACAGAGAATGGTCCGAAAAAGAAAAAACATCCAGTGAGCGGCAGTTCTGTGGGCGGAAATGCCTTGTTGATGCCAGAGGTCAGAGGAGAATGGCCAGACTGGTTCGAGCTGATAGAAGGGCAACAGTGACTGAAATAACCACTCGTTACAACCGAGGTATGCAGCAAAGCATTTGTGAAGCCACAACACGCACAACCTTGAGGCGGATGGGCTACAACAGCAGAAGACTCCACCGGGTACCACTCATCTCCACTACAAATAGGAAAAAGAGGCTACAATTTGCAAGAGCTCACCAAAATTGAACAGTTGAAGACTGGAAAAATGTTGCCTGGTCTGATGAGTCTCGATTTCTGTTGAGACATTCAGATGTTAGAGTCAGAATTTGGCGTAAACAGAATGAGAACATGGAACCATCATGCCTTGTTACCACTGTGCAGGCTGGTGGTGGTGGTGTAATGGTGTGGGGGATGTTTTCCTGGCACACTTTAGGCCCCTTAGTGCCAATTGGGCATCGTTTAAATGCCACGGCCTACCTGAGCATTGTTTCTGACCATGTCCATCCCTTTATGGCCACCATGTACCCATCCTCTGATGGCTACTTCCACCATGTCACAAAGCTCTAATCATTTCAAATTGGTTTCTTGAACATGACAATGAGTTCACTGTACTAAAATGGCCTCCACAGTCACCAGATCTCAACCCAATAGAGCATCTTTGGGATGTGGTGGAACGGGAGATTCGCATCATGGATGTGCAGCCGACAAATCTGCGGCAACTGTGTGATGCCATCATGTCAATATGGACCAAACTCCCTGAGGAATGCTTCCAGCACCTTGTTGAATCTATGCCACGAAGAATTGAGGCAGTTCTGAAGGCAAAAGGGGGTCCAACCCGTTACTAGCATAGGGTACCTAATAAAGTGGCCGGTGAGTGTATATATATATATATTGTAAGTTTTCTTTGTATAGAGGAGAAAAAAACGAAAACTTCCCTGGAGTTATAAAGTATCAGAGTGATGAAATGACAATGAACTAAGCATACACGCACATACAATATACAATCCAAAGGACAGCATTCTTTCACCTGCTTACAGAGTTATCCAGACAGAGATCACTAAATTCTATATGTTCTATATAGCATAAACATTAAAAAGCCCCTATTATCTGTGGATCAATTATCTAGTGTGCAAGAATGTTTTGATCCTGAGTGCTTGTAGCTTTTTTTTTAAACTTCTTTCAAGGTGAAACAGCCTACTAATGAATAATGGAAATCTCTTACTGCAGATGTCTGTTACATAAAGAATCACAGGGGTCGTTTAGAGGTTGAGAAGTACCAGACAAAGTCTTGTCCTTGCAGTGATAAAAGTGTGGGTGAATCAGCCTGAAAACTGCTTTAGAGAGCTTTATTAATGACAGCCTGGGAACTGTGTGCGCATATTCTCTTTTTGAAGCTTTTTTAAGCTGATTTGTCTGGCACTGACATCCACACTCTGAAATAGAGGGTTGCGTGTGGATGGCTGTCTGCTGCCGATTTAAGCTTTTTGGTGTTATGAAATTGACTTTATTTGCATTGCTTTTGTTAAATATTCTCTTCACATGTGAATAAGAGATAGTGTGAACTCAAATGTCCTCTTCTTAAACTCTGCCTTGTTTTCTTGGCATACAGGCTGGTGAGGGGGAATCTTTTCCAAAGCATATTAGAAAATGGGAACCCCCTGGTCCCTTACAGGAAGGTCCTAAGATCATTTCATCCCAGGAGTTGTGTGATAAGACACTTAGAAACCAAACATTCTGCCATGCAAAAGTAAAGGGCTCAGTGCATCTCTTAAAACCAAAAGCTCCACAGTCTGGTGTCAAGAGGCAGAGACATCCCCTCAGACCCCAGAAACAATCTAAGAGGCAAGGATGCAATAAACCGAATAACTTCAAACTCCCCAACCCCTCCGATCCAAGTCTGTCAGGATCCAAAATAAGCTATCAAATGTCTTCAGAAACAGATATAAAAGAAGATGGAACCACAGCAACCCCTAGAGGGGCTTTTAGTTTGATTTCTGATCCCAGGGTGTGTGACACAGGCCGTCTCTCACAAGAGGATAGAGAATGCATGTTAGAGGAGGTTGGAAAAGCGAAAGCATTAGTTGTCACCATGGTATACCAAGATGGCACCATACAACTAGACCCAGAACAGGTGTGTTTACAGATTTATTCGATGATATTCATCTAAAAAAGTTTGGAGAAGAAAATAAATGAATGCTTAATTTCAGCAAGGATGTATTAAATTGATCAAACGTTACAGTAAATACATTTATAATGTTACAAAACATTTCTAATTTCAAATAATTGTTTATTTTTGAAAAAAATAAATCTGAAAAATATGTATCACCATTTCCACGAAAATATTAAGCATTACAACTGTTTTCAACATTTATAATAAGAAATATTTCTTCAGCGCCAAATCAGGAGTAATGGCTGCTGAAATTTCAGCTTTGCCATCACAGAAATAAATGATAATATCTGTAATTTAAAAATATTACTGTTCAATCAATGTATTTGTCAAATACATGCAGCCTTAGTTTCAGAACTCATTAAAAAAATCGACTCATACAAGGCACATTGAAAGAATTTCAAATTTGTACGAGTGGTAATGTATGTGAGCATTAATGGCTTGGTGTGTTCAATGTCTCTAAAGAGGCTGTGCCCTGCAGTGTGTGGCCTGCTGGTTTTGCTGAAGACTGATTTGGACTCAGAGGGACTACAGGACAGGCCACCAGAGAGGGTGCTATACCTCAGACTAGAGCAGACACCAGCCTGGGCCCAACAAGACTTTATACAAAAACAGGATGCCTTCACCAGGTGTGCTTGTATTTTTTGGAGAGGAAATTAGAAAAAGACAGAGAGTGTTTGTCTATTCTCCTTACTATCCCTGCTTTTTTCTGTCACAGATTCATTTTTTTTTTTTTTTTTTTTTAAGGTATACTGTTACATGTGTAATGTGGTCACTGTGTAGGTGAGCACATGTGTGGATATGATATTTAGAGATGCTGTAGGTGGTGTTCAGTGTGTTTCTCTGTATCTGTTTGTGTCCTTAGAGAGCTGCTGCTGCGAATGATGTGTGGCACAAAGCTGTTTGTGTGCTTTAAAGCTAAAGACCTGCTTCGCACAGCATTGAGACACTTTAGCAGAGACCTGAGCTGGAAACAAGGTGACGCATATGAAGGTCCTTTATCTCTGACTAAACAGTTACCATGTTATGTAGGATTCAAATTCTAAGACTACATTGACATTATTTTAAAAACTGGAAGTAAACAGTGGGTTAAGACATCAAAAAGTTGAGAAAATTTTAAATATTGTTCTATAATTCTGTTTTATATTCTAACATAAATATATTCTATCCATTGTTTCTAAGTCAATCATTTGTTAAAGCAAATTTGTGACTTATCTTGTTATACATTCCAGATACTAGAAAATTCTGAAATTCATACTTTTATAATGAAAATAATAATCATCTTTATTTTCTATAGCGCCTTTAAAAGTTAAATCTCAAAGCACTTCACAAAAATAAGGAAAAATAAAAGAGAAATACAACAATATAAAAGAAAAGCATTCATAAAAGAGAAATAAATTCAAAATATACAATACAAATATAAAATGTTATCAAAAGAGTTTAAGTTAATTGTATAGAAAAAAGATAAATAGTTAAAGTAATCAAATAAAAGCTACCCTAAAAAAAGTAAGTTTTGAGGTAAGCTTTAAAAACATTCAAAGATTCCGCTTGCCTGATCTCAGAAGGCAGAGAGTTCCAGAGTTTTGGAGCAAATGAAGATAAAGCCCTATCATCACCCATAGATCTTAAACGAGTTGGCGGGACAGTTAAAAGACCAGCTTCGGAGGAGCGGAGATCACGCGTTGGGATGTACGGGATTAAAAGTTCCGACAAATATTGAGGAGCCAGACCATGCGAAGCCTAAGTATGAGTAAGCATGAGAATTTTAAAATCAACACGAAACCTGACAGGGAGCCAGTGTAAGGACTCCAAAATAGGAGTGATGTGATTCCTATTCCTGGTCCTAGTCAGGATTCTGGCGGCAGAATTTTTAACAAACAAACTGTAATTTGTTTAGAGTAGCTTTTTATGCTGATATGATATTAAAGGGGATCTATTATGCAAAATTTGCTTTTATAAGATGTTTGAACACAGATGTGTGTCCACAACGTGTGTAAACAACCAGCCTATAATGGTAAAAATCCACCCTGGCCTGTACTTTTTTATAATCCCCATAAATCAGAAACCGTCACTCCAAACGAGGTGTTCCATATTTATGTAAGAGTAGGGGGAAGCCCCAGCTATGACTAGTGATGATCTGTTATCACCAGTTAATGTTTTATATATTTGAGCACATCATTTTACGCCGGACTGCTTCACAAAACGAGGGTCAGATCAACGCTGGATTTGCACAAAAGTTGTTTCTGAAAGATTTTTAGATTAACATGACGGTACATGCTAGTCGATGGGTTGAATCAACTTAACTCCACAACAGCTACATATATTTATCCACTAACAATTCAGAAACATCCAGTTGTATCCTAAAAAGTTTAAATTCGGTGTCCGACTCCAGTTCGAACATGTAAGGCTGAAAACCGTGTCTGACAATTTCTGACATTTTGGCTGTTTGGCATCCTCCAGTTTTGTTGTTGCTGGAGTATCCGAAGCACAAGCTGTAAAAACTCCGCCCTCTTCTGGAAAGGGAGCTAGGAGCAGCAGCTGTTGCATTTAAAGGGACACACACAAACGTGTTTTTGCTCACACCCAAACAGTTTCAAAACATTGTACTAAACTAAATTAACTCTGAAGCCGGGGACACACCAGGCCAACGGGCAATGTCATTTTTTTGAGCATCTGTTGGCTTAGTTTTTTCGGTGTGTTCTGCACCGTTGGCTCTAACCGGATAACGTCTTTTTTTGTTGTTGTTTTTTGCCGATTCAGCGTGTTGAAGCGCCGTTGGCCTGTCGGTGAGAGAAAGAACTCTGATTTGCTTTTCAACATAGTGAATGAGTCAGTGCACGAGAATAAAAGTTAAAGTGATGAAAGCGTGCAAAGAAGTCAAGACGGCACGGCAAGTTTATTTATATAGCACATTTCATACACAATGGTAATTCAAAGTGCTTTACATAGAATAAATTAAAATAATCAAAAGAAATAAGAATAATTAAAACAGTTTAGAATAAAAAAATATATATATATAATACAGTTTTATAAGGGTTTTATAATTTTAGGTCATCTTACCTGAGCGTTCCAATGCAGGAATATTTTCATAATAACATAAGCCGAGTGGAATGAAGAAAGTTAACAGCATGATTGATTTTCAAAATTGCAAGCAAGTGCTGCTTTGTATATCTGCAGTCCTAGTTTCGGTTTCCCATTTGAATGACGAAAATAGACTATTGATACCTGCTGATATGGACAGTTATTTCCTTACACACAGGTGCAGAACGCACATGCTAGTTGACAGTCGCCTATTGTCCTTTTTGTGTGTTCAAGCGCAGCTTTTTGGCCGAGATGCAGCTGACGCAAAGTGACAACACAGTCAGCTTTTGTCGCCACTAGTTCTTTGACGTCGACTTGGTGTGTCCTGAAATATTTTCAATAGTGCTCTCACTAATTGACTTTTGAACCCCACTTTATATTCACAAAAGTTGGAAATACTGTTTAAATTTAGACATTACCATTAGATATAGACTTTTAATACATCTAATAATGTTTTAAAAGAATTTGGGAACAGTGGTATTGTGGGTAATATTTGAGTAATTTGTGACTTTGATTTCTGATTCTGTGCAGTTTTGGGGTGTCAAGTCATGGATCCTCAGATTGCTGCGTGGTTGTTAGATCCTGGCAACTCTGCTACCTGCTTTCAGACCCTGCTTTCCAAACACTACACACATCCAGTTCCGCCCACACTGGAACCTGTGCTTGGGCAAGCCAAGGTCAGGATATACACTTGATTCAATAAATGGTGGTCAGGAAAGGCCCCAGCAGCTGTATTTGAATTTTGAGTTGGTAACGACACTTTTACTGGTGACATTGTCCCTCTTCTTACTGCTTTATAAGGTGACTCAAGCGATTTCAAATTTGTCTCTTCTACACAAGCTAATGGTGGAACTACATAACAAGCTTCAGGTAAGTGAACCTGAATCTTTTCTAAATAAAGCATAATGTACACTGTTTCTCAGTTTTCTCTCTTATGGCGCTTTTCCACTGCATGGTACAGTACGGCTCGCCTGGGTACGACTCACTTTGTGGCGCTTTTCCACTGCATGGTACGGTACGGCTCGCTTTAAATGGTACCACCTCTGTTGAGGTTCCAAGCATACCGTACCGATACTAAAATGTGACGTGAAAACACTGCAGATCACTGATTGGTCAGACGGAATCGTCACTACCAGCGTCATTGTATATGCGAGACATCAAACCCGCTAGATTTAAATAGCCAGTAACAGCCACCGCTGTAGCACCTGTTTTAAAACTACTTGTTTGACTTGCTTGAAGAAAAAAGAAAGAAAAAAAACTTTCAAAAAAGAAATGGCTGAATTGTGGTCAGTGGACGAAGTGCAGATGTTCCTCTCGTTGGTTGCCGAGGAGCGGATAAACTATAACGGTCAGACTATAATCCCACCCGCTTTGAAGCGGTACTAACTGCAGTGGAAAAGCAAACCGAGCTAAAGCGAACTGTGCCGTGCCGAGTCGTACCACGCAGTGGAAAAGCGAAGCGAGCCGAACCGTGCCGAGCCGAACCGTACTGAGCCGTACCACGCAGTGGAAAAGCGAAGCGAGCCGAACCGTGCCGAGCCGAACCGTACTGAGCCGTACCATGCAGTGGAAAAGCGCCATTACTCAGAATTTTCCTTTCCTGTCTGTCTTTTTCTCTATAGACTCAGGGGCTGTGGCAGCTCTATTCTGGCATAGAACAAAAGATGATTCCAGTTCTGGCAGGTCAGAGCAAAGAAAATTTAATGATTTAACTTACAGAATCTCACCATACTGCATATCCGTGATTTATTCATTTTATGATATAATGAGTTTGTTTCCATTTTTATGGAATATCACTGTATCGCTGCTTTAAAGTCCCCCTGTAGTCAAATATGTTATCCCTTAAAGTCGTCATGAAATAAAAAATATATTTACTTTGTTAGCGCACATTACTAGTCTTGTGGTGAATAATTAATCAGCGCAAGTTAATACACAGAAAAAAAATGTTTTTTTCATGGTAATCTTTAATCAAAATCTGAACATTTGCTTTCGCTCTGGAATGGCGTTCCTTCTCTGACTTCAGTTTGACGGCTTGGGTTGAATATCCTTAACCACTCCCCTCCAACCGTCAGTTTTCTATAAACGAGGGATGGAGAGGAGGTGCACTAAAGTAAAACCCTGCCCTCTATTCAATATTCCGTTTCCCTTGGAAATACATCACAAAACTGGAGAAAAGTCAGTTGCAACTTCGGTTTACGGGGACTTTTTGATAATCAAAATGACACATTTTAACTTTTTTCTTCCTGTGAACATTTTTTAAAATAGCTTGAATGTTACTCCACACCCTTGCTTCATTTAGTATACACGGAACCATGAATATGCAAATTAGTCCCTGCCTCCACTCACTCACACCAGATCGGACTACCTGATCCACTCGCTCAACTTTACTGTAGTAAACGCTGCATAATGGAAAGTGGAAATACTGGTTTAATTCAGAAATACATGTTTGAACCAGAAACTGATTCAGAAGAAGTGGAAGAGTGAATAATACAGGTTTGTCTACAAGTCAATGTATCAGAATAGTAATGCGTTTTATGTATAACTCTCTACAACATCTGACACATAACGTTAACTGATATGATTGGTCTTTGGCTTGACTATGTTATCAAACAGCTAATAATGTTTTGTTAATGTTACACAAATCATGTTCCCGTTCGCCATCTCAGAGTTAGACAGCTGCCTTCTAAAATCAGCATCCTTAGAAATGAATGAATGAATGAGGCATTTATATAGCGCTTTCATATGTACTACTGTACACCCAAAGCGCTTTACAATCATATCAGGGGGTCTCTCCTCAACCAGCACCAGTGTGCAGCATCCACTTGGATGATGCGACGGCAGCCACAGTACAACGGCGCCAGTGCGCTCACCACACACCAGCTATAAGTGGAAATGCTTTGAACATCATAGAAAGTCAGTGTAGAAAAGCCCCGCCCTGCATGTTGACGAGAATGGTTACATGTTTGTGATGCTAGGAAACAGGGCCGGTGTTATGCCGAGTTTTTGTCTGTTTTTGAGACAATGAATTTGCGCACATTAAAAACACCATATAACAAGACATATAAACAACATTAAAAACGCGTTGAGTCATATTTTTCTGTTGTTGTTTTCTGTTATTTTGTGTTGTCTTTGTATTTTGATATTACATTTTATTAGCTTTGTACAGCACATTGGGCAACTGTAGTTGCAATAAATTGTTCTATATAAATAAATACAATAAAGAAAGTAAGAAAATTTAGATTTTCACCACAGGGGGTATTTTGCATTTACAATGGAGCCAATAATTTTAAGGTGCTGCTTTAACATTATTCTTGCTCTCTCTCAGCAATGGAGAGCTATAAAATGCATGTGGACAAGGAGGCCTTGAAAAAGACTTCAGAGATGTTGGGGGTAAGAGTTTGTGTATGTGATTCTTTGAAACAACTATAAACTGATTTTCTCAGGCCTATCTACCCTGAGGGAAATGGAAGGTCTGTTATATGTAGTTAATATTAATCTACTCATCTGTCACTGCTCAAAAAGAACATTATCAATTAACTTCTCACTCATTCTCATGAGTGAGAATGACACGTATATTGCTTCCTCTAGTGCTTTGTCTATATTAATTTCATACGCTTCTACACTTTTCACAATTCTCCTCTTCTATTGTTCTTCTACATTTCTCTCATCCTTCCCCAGTTCTCTCAGAAGAAAGGAAGGGATAAATAATAAAACACTACTGGGTTATTCTTTGTTAGGGGTTTTACTCCATCTTCTGTTTTTGAAAGTGTCAGAATGTAAAGCTTCTCACTTCTAATTAGGGTCTCTCTTGTGCTCTCTCTCTCAGTCTAAGCTGAAGCAGTTAGAGCAGGAGGCTCACCAGGCCGCAGGTCAAAAGTTCTTGGTATCCAGCAGTGCTCAGCTCAGACTGGTCAGTGTTTTTGAATCGCTTTGCTGACCTTGAAAGCATTTTTTTCATGCCCAAAATGTCTATTAAGTAAGTCACTAAGTTTTGAAATAGGGTCTTGTGCCCGGTCAGTTCATCTTGTCAAACCTCTCCTCCTTTCAGATCCTCTTCGAGAAGCTGCGTTTACATGAACTTTGTGAGAATAAGAAGCTTCCCAAAACAATCAAACAACAGCAGTCAACATCAGAAACAGCTGTGAGCACACATTTAATGTCCTTATATATGCACATAAACATGAGTGATGGTCTCATAGATGTTATTGTTTATATTTACACTACCGTTCAAAAGTTTGGGGTCGGTACGATTTTAAATACTTTTAAAAGAATTCTCTTTTGCTAACCATGGCTGCGCTTATTTGATTAAAAATACAACAAAAATCAGTTATAGTATTAAATATTATTCCAGTGTAAATCAGCTGTTTTCTGTGTGAATATATAGTAAAGTGTAATTTATTCCTGTGATCAAAGCTGAATTTTCAGCATCACCAGTGTCAGTGTCTTCAGTGTCAAATGATCCTTCACAAATCAGTATAATATGAGGATTTGATGCTCAAGAAACATTTATTATTATTATCAATGTTGAAACAGTTGTTGGTCTGTCAGTTGTACAGTTTTTTTTTTTTTTTTTTTTTTTAGGATTCTTTGATGAATAGGAAGTTCAAAAGACTTTTGTAACATTATAAATGTCTTTACTGTCACTTTCGATCAAATTAATTATTCCTTGATAAATAAAACTATTGATTTCTTTCCTCCAAAAAATAAAAATAAAATTCTCACTGACCCCAAACTTTTGAACGGTAGTGTAATTATTGTCTGCAGCAATCTTAATGCTTCGGGCCAGATTTACTAAATGCTGGGGACACACTTAACGACTAGCTGAAACATTCTAAGACTGAACTAAAAACACTTAAAGTCTGGAGTCGTAAGTATCAAATTACATTCATAATCGGCCTTACAGTTTTTAAGTGTGTCCCCTGTTAAACAGGGCAAATTAGCGTGAGAGCACAATTCCAAAAAAGCGCCAATGGGAAAGCGCACAAAGTTATGTGCGTGATCTACTGACGACGCGCAAATTAAAGAACACAGACGCATCCGGATCATTTCCAGAATGACCAACGCAATCTACCAGTTGGCGTCTGGTTTAAGACGTTTTTTGGGCGGTAAATAATGGCGCAAGCATAAGTAAATTGGCGAGCGGAAAACCTTAGTAAATCACCTTGCATGATTCATTTAAATGCTCTCCTCCCATAAATTTTGCACCTGAAAGGGAAACTCCTACAGATGCATATGCAATAAGGTCAGCCGCAAAAACAACTCTGTCCACGCCTTTTCAGCGCTAATTTTTCAACGGCATAAGAGGGTTTGTGCTGGCGCAAGCTGTTAGTAAATCTGGCCCTTAGTTTGCATGTTTTGATGATTAACGCATATATCAAATTCTCAGATTATCTGATACACATTTAAATTTTATATACGCAGCATAATAAGACAAATGGCTCATAGGCTACAGAAGATTTTTTCTTCTAATGTTTTTTTTTCTCTAGGTCTCCTATTGGCACACGATGTCTGATTATTTCGCTAAAATTAAAAGAGTCGTCTTATCTATTTTGTATAATTCAGCATAATTGCCCCTTTTTTAATGTTTTTTTTTCTGCACTCTATCAGTGTTAATTTCGTTGACGAAATAAGGACGAAAATTATTCGTCAACGACATTTTTTCACAGACGAAAACGAGACGATAACTAAATAAAACCTAGTTTTGAATGACAAAGACTATGACGAAAATCTATTGACATTTTCGTCAACTAATAAAAACTAGACGAAAATGTTAGATAGTGACGATTTTGGAAGCGATCCGTCAGAACTGATGTCCTGCGTGTGTGGTAGATGCGCACATTTGTAGTCTACTGTAACGTGATCTACCCCGCGGTCATAAAACGTTAAAAAATGTGAACGTCTGGGAGAATGAGTAGGGCAGACATATAGATCTCTGAATAAGAGTGACGATGCAAAAAAGAGCTCTATTCGGTGCGGTTTTCTGTGCGCACACACCTAACCCGAAGCGTGCAGTCATGCACAATACACCTACAGCGCGCGAGTAGGCTACTGAATTGAGCTCTCTTTCGTGTCTGAATGGAGAAATACACAACAGTATGTCTAAATGTCCTTTTTGGAGAGTATTCATGTAAACTATGCTGGTTATGTCTTAAACTGTGAGTGTGTCGGATGTGCATCAGTGCAATTGTATCCGCATGTCATTGGACATGATCCGACGTCTTAAAGTGACAGTGGCAATAAACATAATGCGGTCCGTGTCCTTAATTTTGATCAAGCAACAAAAGAAAAAGAGAAAAGCATTCACTGTTTGTTAATAGCTTTAATAAGGATTAATTATATTTAATTCATACAAATAAATATGTCTGCTTGAAAGAATAAAGAATGATGTGTAAGTAGTTATAAGGAATGAATATATCATTCATTGTAAAGAAGACTGTGTTGTACTTTAGGAAAAGTGGTTTTATTTCATTTTAAGATATTTTTTAAGTAACAGCAGTTAAATCTGTATCTGTATTGCATGTTCAAACTTAAAAATCATTCATATTAATAGGTTAATAGATGTTTTCTCCATATGGGTTTGGAAATTTTAGAGAAATTCTAAATTAACGCATTACAATTGAACTAAACCCATTATATTTTAGTCGACTAAATCTACTGTAGATTTAGTCGACTAAAATGTTATTGTATTTCGTCGACTAAAACTAGACTAAAACTAAAACAATTCAGATGACTAAAATATGACTAAAACTAAATGGCATTTTAGTCAAAAGACTAAGACTAAAACTAAATCAAAATTTCCTGACAAAATTAACACTGCACTCTATTATAGCTATTACAACTACAGAAGCTGCATCCACTGCCCAAAATCGTACTGGAATACAGACAGATTCACAAAATCAAGACTGCATTTGTGGATGGCATTTTGTCTTGTATGAGCAAGGTGAGACATTTCACGTGTAGACTAGAAATCAAACCATATCAGATTTGATTTTAAAACATGCCTTTTTTATTGTGCTGTTGTTTTTCTTATGTCCAACCGACAGTATAAATGTTTATTATTAATTTTATATTTAATGTTTAATTTTATTTTTATCCAATGTTTTCCATTTATCTATCTGTATAGTATTTATATGTTCTTTATAAATAAATGACTTGACCTGACACAGCGAATAGATTGTCATTGTTTACAAAAAAATATATTTTTTAATTTATTTATTTTATTTCTCTACTTCTCAGACATTCATTTCTTCCACATGGAATCAGACCAGTACAGTGAGTGGCAGACTGTCTGCCAAACATCCTGTGAGTGCTTCTCCTTTTTCCTTTCAACTATCTATCATTTGCCTGGTTACTATTGAACCGTCCTCCCTTTTTCTCTCCTTCACTTTCCTAGGTTTTTTTATGCTCTGTTTCTTTTTCACACACATGCACACATCCACATGCCCACTGTTTGTATTTTAAAAAGTCCTGGGCCTGGGTTAACCTGGCCCTAGCCAGATGAATTTCGCTCCGCCTAGCTTCACTCACATCCATCTGGAACCTCTTCCATTGAGAGTGATTTCTCCAACCAACTTTATGGTTTAGCCAATCAGGACGCAGGGCGGGAGTTTCATAGATGTGACGTAGTGGAGAAGCGACCGTGAGACTGTTTTGATTCAGACAACAATGGCGGCTCGCATCGAGGAAACAAGCGTTAACATTGATGCTGTTAACATTGATTTCATCCGTGTTGTCCAATCTACCTAATATTGTTTCATTAAAAGAACATCAGAGAACGGCTCTTAAGGCTTTTGTTGGTGGAAACGATGTTATATAGATCAGTGCCTTCTCCCGACCGGATTCTTCAGCGTCACGGGTTGGCTTCGGTGTGAGTGGTTGAAATAGCACGTCGATAAAGATGACAGACAAGTGGCTTATCCAATCATATGCAAGGATTTTTTATAAGGCCCAGCCTTCTGAAACGCCATTTCAATGGATCGGTTCCAGATGGATGTGAGTGAAGCTAGGCGGAGCGAAATTCATCTGGCAAGGGCCAGGTTAGGCCTGGGTAACATTTTGAACAAAACAAGATTTGACACAACCCTCTGCTGCCCTATTATATTGTACTATTCTCTCCTCTCTCTGTTGTGACAGATTGATAGCTCATCTCTAGATCTGTTTCAGGGTCCAGCATACACATGATGTGGAATTTACACTGTTCCAACACTACACACGCAGAGAGAACATTGTCCTCTAACAATATCTGCTTCCTCTAGGCGCATTTTCAATCCATCAATCAAGGCATTCATTCTTTCTTTAGAATAATGGAACTTGTCATTATTTTTGACTTCATGAAATCCCTCACACCATACGCTTGTCACGTATGTTTGTAAATGATCTGTGTCTCCTTCATACTGAATTCAGTCAAGTCACCTCTGGAGGTTTATTCATCTGAGTATTGTACTGTAACCTAACCTGTGCATTTAATTTCTGTTGATGAGCTAGCATATATATGGACTAGCTTCATTAGCTGTTAGGACGAATTGAGAAAAAACATCAGCCATAAATTGCAGTCTAGGGAAGATTGAGAGCATCCTAAGAAAGTACCAGTTCATACAGTATGATGCTGATGCAGTATAAACACCACCTCAATAAGAGATTCATTGCACAGCATAGATGGCTTCATTGATTATAACAGGAGTTTTCGCAAGAGTGCAGTTTTGTGCTAGTCTAGCTTTGTGCTAGTCTGGCTTAAGTCAGACCCAAGTCTCATTGAGACTTGGGTCTGGGAACCACATGTTCAGACATTTTCTCGTATTTGAGGCGTGGTTTACGAATGCCCAGAGCCATTTATTAGGTGCTAAGAATGTCTATCAAATGCGCCTGTACGTAGCTCATAGCCAATCGTTTCAATTATACCAGATGACATATGTAGAGCGACAGAAATTAGACGAGGAAGAAGACGATGGGTCAGAGATTTATGTGTACACGATGGCGTGTATCTGACGGCCGTTTCACACCGCATGCGTGAGCGGCGCGTTTTTTTTTCGGCGTGCATGTTAATCAATGAGTGCATTCACACCGGGAGCAGGAGCAGCGCAGGAGCGTCGCGTGAGCAGCAGTGACGCGGGGGTTTCGGCGTCGAATCTGTTTTTGCTGCACTGCTCACGCTCAATTAAAGTGAAAGCACACTTTTGATGGACAAAAATAAATATGATTTCACACAAAAAGTGCCAAAAAAGCACAGGATAAGCATGTCTAGTGAGTTTTAAAAAGACCTTGAGTAGGCAAATAAAAGAAAATAAAGACTCAAAAATATTTATAGAAGATTTAGGCTACCCGGTAAAAACTTGTTTTTAATTATTCAGTTTGGGTGAAAGTTGTTTATTATATTAAAAAAAAACTAAAGTAAACTAGCCAGAAAATATTATATATAAACGTTTTGTTTATGTAACACACAGACAGCTACATAGGCTAGCACAACCCAAATCAAACCTGAGTGTGTGGTTTATTTGTGCGTTTTGTTTTTTTTATCCACGGAGTTGCAGTCTTGTAAACATATCGAAAGTATGACTGAAACTAATAGATTGGAGCCATTTTCTGGGTTGTTTTGTTGTTTAACATTTATATGCGAATGTTGTACACTTCCCCATTACAAACTTTCAAGACTTTCAATGTTATAAATGACCAACTTCTAAAAACAAATGTATAGTTGTCTTTGTAAAGAATTGCTTGCTTATATATGTAGTTGGAGCCGCTGCTGTGACACTGTACAAACGCTTCCGGTGTGAATACTCTCGCCCGTCTGCAGCTGCAGTGACGATGTAGTTACGCTGACGCGCTGCTCAAGTGCCGCTCACGCTTGCGGTGTGAAACGGCCGTAAGACTGCATCGAAAGGTAACTTCGCGTCTGCTGCCATGTTGGATCCATAGGTATAAACAAACTGCTTCGGTGTGTTGCATAGACGTCGTCATCGTCTTGCTGCTCCCTCCGCGTTCTGTGATTGGTCCCCTAGAAGAGGTGAAAATTTGGTCCATGGTATCCAGACTACCTAGCAGTGTGAAATAAAATTGCACTGCGGCAAGGTATGGGGAAACCCAGGCTAGCTTTGTCCACTTAGTGTTGTGATTATAATCGCAGTGATCTTTGCTTGCTTTCTGTATATAATATATATTTTTCATTCTGCTGTCAATCCAAGTTTCTGGTTTGACAACCGTATTTAAATTTGAATCCAATTGACGGGGATAACCATAGCAATTAATGGAACAAAACTATCTGGTACTGTATGACAAATGATCTGTGCATTACGTCTTGGTGTGTAAATGCAAAATGATACACCTGACACCAGGGGCGGACTGGGACCAAAAAGTGTGTAAGATGTGTTGGTCCTATCTGCAATGAACATAGCTACAAAATCTACGAAGGTTAGTAGCAAATTAAAATTTCTCTCAAACACTATAACATGCAAATTATCCAATTTTAAACATTAGAGGATCATCAAAATCTTAAATGATGTAATTAAGTTAAAGTTTTAAAACATAAAACAAGGAACTCGTTTTTGGAAGAAAACAATATTGGATTGTTTTAATTTTTTTGTTTTAATGCTTGGAACAACTTTTCAGCTCCACCTTTTCGTTTCTTCCCTTTTTTGTCCATGGACAATTATTTGTAATTATCTGCTCAGAGAAATTCGCTGTAACAGAACGCTGTATCTCTCTCTCTCTGTAAATTAGACGTGAAAGGGGGCGTGTTTCAAGATACGCAATGGAGTAGACCAAACTAATTAACAGGGAGGGCAACACACTCACATGCTCACAAAACACACTCCTTGTCGGCCCCGCCCGCATGATCGACTCACTCATCCATTTGCGTAGAAAAGAGATGTAATATTATGAATTCCGATTTTTTTTTTAATTATTTGTGTACCGGGTGGGCCGGCCCACATTGGCGCATGTGCAATGACATTGAAATAGCGTAATGACGGATGACGCACGACGCACGGAACGAGCTGTTCTTCCCGTTGAATAAAGTGTCATCTAAATGAGTGTCCCGTTATTCTAAAATTCTCATTTCACTCAGCGTCTGTGAAGTGGAGCAGAAGACTCATCCACAGACGACTGGTTTTGGGCACGCGGTTTTACTGCGAGATTAATATAAGCAGCACGGCAAAACAGTTCATATGCTCATTGTCTCCAAATCATAACCAGAGACGGATAAACTACATATATAAGCAAGCAATTCTTTACAAAGACAACTATACATTTGTTTTTAGAAGTTGGTCATTTATAACATTGAAAGTTTTGAAAGTTTGTAATGGGGAAGTGTACAACATTCGCATATAAATGTTAAACAACAAAACAACCCAGAAAATGGCTCCAATCTATTAGTTTCAGTCATACTTTCGATATGTTGCAGAAGACTCATCCACAGACGACTGGTTTTGGGCACGCGGTTTTACTGCGAGATTAATATAAGCAGCACGGCAAAACAGTTCATATGCTCATTGTCTCCAAATCATAACCAGAGACGGATAAATATTAAGTCTGCTGTTTAAAACAAATAAAGAACCAATAGAGGAGACTAGTTATGCGTGAACAGCGGCAGTATATTCGTGCAGTGTGCGCATATCAAAAAATCAATTCCGATTTGAAGCTTGTGACATAAATGTGCACATCAACCCGATTACTTTATTTATCGTTCATGTAAACACCGTGTTCGGATTCATCAATCGGATAGATTTCATTCCGATTGAACCAAAAGGTGTCCATGTAAACGTAGCTACTGATGTCTGTGGAAGCAGCATTAACAATCCATTCAAATATAGGCTAATAGGCTAATTTGCCGACGTGTGTTATTCATATCTACACAGTGTAAGTAACTATAAAGTTATAGTTATTATTCTATAATTCACCGGCCATTTTCTTACATGTATTTCGGGAGAAACTGATGAATTTTCTCTAAATCCGACTGACAGGACTCTCTGAACTGCGGTGCAAACAAACATTGCGGCGCCCATCCCACGTTATAGATCAAGATTATTTATAAAGGTTTTTAAATGGCAAAACACACTCACTTACACGTATTTGAGAATCGGAATATCAGATAGTTGTTGACATAGTAAGCAAGTTTGTGAATATTTTGAATAAAAAAGGAAAAACAATATAAAAGCGATCTATCATACAGTGGTGTGGCTGCTCTGCTGTGTATCACGTGACAAGTTTAGAGTTATAACAAAAAACGAGCTGCCTTTGGATCCGAATCCCGCAAGTGTTCTTGAACAGAAGGCCTAATATTTCTTTTCCATCTAGAGATGAGCACAGAC